CAGCCATAGTGCACCAGTACGCTCACTACACTTCAGCTATCAGTGGGGAGGAGAATAGAGTGATGAAGCCAACTCATAGATGGGGGTTATTAGAAGGCCATGACTGGAAAATTCCAGGGGGAAATATGGCCAGGACACCCCCACAGCTTTCTGAGAAGCGAATGGTGTTGTAGACCTGCAGGCCCTTTAAACAAACCTGAGCCCCTCTCCCTCGCATGTGTATTGCCTGCAGTACTCCAGCGTGAAGGACTCCACCGCAGCCAGGTTGGTGGAGCTCCAGCGGATGATGGCCGAGTCCCAGCACACTGTGCATTCCTCCGTCTTGATTACTGGGCCAGAAGGAGCTGAAAACACAACGTGAGGGGAAGGTCAGCTTTCTCCATTTGCTGGTTTTACATCCTTCCAATTCACACCTCATATGAAAGGAGTCATACAGTATGAGCTAATTGCACCGTCAGGCACGGCAAAGCTCTCTGCCACAGCCCACTGGCTGACATTCTGTTAAATTAGTGGAATCACTTATGCAACTTATTTTTACAATTTAAGGCTCTGAGTACTATATTGATCTATCTTCAGAATCCAGCCAAACAGTACTGTTTTACTCCCCATCAGCAGCAGCTTCAACATAGTCTTGAAGCAAGCTGAACTGCATCCTTTGCAAGCTTCTCTGCATAGCCGGTCTTATACTAGGCTACTGTCTGATTCTTGATTTACTGGATAGAGATAAACAGATTTATTCCAGTAGAGGCCTAGAAGAAAATCTGACCCTTCCTCTAATGGATGGTTAGATATAGTGATATCCATTGTATCATTATGGATTGTCTAAATCACTGAACAGGAAAAAATGAGCTAGGGAGAGCCTGTGATCTTTACACCATAGTTCACTCTGCAAAATGAACCTCATACTGTACAACAAAAGTAATTGTGTGGGTTTCAGATCAAAGAACCCAGTGTATTTTTGGTGAATAATAGTCACTTTCAGTACAGCAGAATATCAAGATATAATGGCCTTGTAAAATCTCTGACCTGTTCTGAAAGAAGTCTTCTCACTTGGCAAACTGCAGCCTGTGTAATTTACTGCCATAACCCACACCAAGTAGCACTTGTCTGGTTCTAAGTCCTCCAGTGTGCAGTAACTCTCCTTTACTGTCACTCTGTACTCTTCTGACATAGCTGTGGGTTACAAGATGAACACAAGAACAATGACAATGAAAGGTATAGTCTAATATTAAAAGGTTTAAGCATAGGGTTCATGTAGTATATACAATGCAATGATCATGAACAATTATGTGCTGCAGTGTCAGAGGCTGTTTGTAAGTTTCCAAACTATGGTCTTTCATCTTTAGATCAGGAACTAATCCATTTGATGGAAACAATTTCTCAAGGACATCAACATGGGGAACTAAAGGGTTTTCTTAGTCACCTCATTTTAACACATGGTGGCTCAGTATATTTCTTTATTATTCAGCACTTTGGAAAATACTCAATAAAATGTTATGTCTGGCTGTGACTTGCAATAATCATCTCATCACCACTCGCATAGGCGAAGACTGAACTTAAAAATGAATGAAAAGGGTGTACTGAACATCTACTATCCACAAAAAAATAAGTCATTACATGTCACTAATATTGACTACTGCGCACAATGTGTCTTAGTACTATTATGTCTGTCTGATCTCTTTGTTCACTTGTTAGTTGCAGTATGGGGACGTTGTGATAGAATAGGATGTTCTGAATTGGTGGGGATGGTGGGATGTATGGTGAGGATAAAATACAAGTTGTAATTTTATTAAGAGAGAAATGTCCTAGTATGAACTACAAGCTGGTGGAACCTCTAACTGAATTGGTTTTGAATACTGTACCTCCCTGAGGTTCTTCCATACAATAGACCTGGAAGCAATCGATGACATCACCCTCATTGACCTTCCAGTAGACTATGACTGAAGTGCTGGTTGCAGAGTTGGGCTCTTGAGGCTGTACTCGAGGTGTCTGAGGAACTGAGAGAAAAGATCAACCAGCATGTTAACAGTCTAAAACTTATGTAAAGAATTCTACTGTAAGAGTTAATAACATGAGTATATCCTACACAACATATACTAATTCTACACAAACAGTTCAGTCCTGTTATTCTTTCATATGACTGACTACCTATAAAATGCACTGTGATATTAATTTAATTATTCCTGTCATTTATAACTCTGCAGGCATTTTTTACCCCCATCTAAGTACATGAACACAAACTTGCATTCAAAGTTACATACTGAACATATGTATTAATCATGTAGCTTTCAACCATACTTAATGTTAGCACCTACAATGCCATGAAAAAGTAATGATTTCCTCATTATTGCAGATGTTTTACGCTGAATGTTTTCAGGTCTTCAGCCAAAATCCGATATTAGATAAAGGGAACCTGATAAAAGATAAAGGGAACAAATAACACCTTTTCTTTTCACTTATTTCATTTATTAAATGAACAAAGTTTTCCAACACCAACTGGCACTGTGTGAAAAAGTAATCAACCCAAATAAAGGGATAATTTAGAGTCAGCTGATTGAACACAGCCAGGCTTGATTACAGCCAGCCCTGCTCAATATAAACCACAGTGAGAGCCATAATCTCCAAATGGAGAACACCTGGAACAGTAGTGAATCTACCCAGGGGTGGCCAACCTGCCAAAATTTCTCCAAGGGCGCAGTGTAAAATCATCCAGGAAGGCACAAAGGATCCTAAAAAATCATCCAAAGAACTGCAGGCTTCTCTAGCTTCAGCTAAGGCCAGTGTTCATGACTCCACAATCAGAAAGAGACTGGGCAAAAATGGGCTTCACGAGAGAGTAGCAAGGCGGAAAAAACTGCTAACCAAGAAGAACATAAATGTTCGTCTCCCATTTGACAAAAAGCACCTGGATGATCCCCATGCCTTTTGGGAGAATATTCTATGGACAGATGAGTCAAAAGTGGAACTTTTTGGACGACATGGGTCCCATTATGTTTGGCTTAAAGCACACTCTGCATTCCACAGTAAGAACATCATACCCACAGCCAAACATGGTGGTGGTAGTGTGATGGCGTGGGGATGCTTTGCTGCCTCAGGACCTAGGCGACTTGCCATAATTGAAGGAACTATGAATTCTTAAGGAGAATGTCCAGTTATCTGTCCGTGAGCTGAAGCCGAAGCATAGTCATGCAGCAAAACAATGATCCAAAACACGAAAGCAAGTCCACATCAGAATGGCTAAAAAGTAGCAAAATTTTAGTTTTGCAGTGGCCTAGTCAAAGTCCAGGCCTAAACCCAATAGAGATGCTGTGGCAGGACCTGAAACGAACAGTTCATGCTCGAAAACTTACCAGTGTTTCTGAATTAAAGCAGTTCTGTGAGGAAGAGTGGGCTAAAATTACTCCACAATGATGTGAAAAACTGATATTGAATTATAGGAAGCATTTGGTTGCAGTCATTGCAGCTAAAGCTGTCATAACCAGTTAAGTTTATTCACACAGGGCATATGGGTGTTGGATAACTTTGTTTATTAAATAAATGAAATAATCATGATTAAAAAGTGTTATTGTTCACTCAGGTTCCCTTTATCTAATATTAGATGTTGTCTAAAGATCTGAAAACATCCAGTGTAACAAATATGCAATGATAGAGGAAATCAGACAGTAACACATTAAAAGAAAAACATCCTATTTCATTTACTTACCTGCAATGCCTTTGAATAATTTGTGTCCATTTCCTGTTGTGGTTTTTGCATAATCTTCAAACACTGGGAAGGTACTGGGGGTGAGCTCCAGAGAAGAGGCTTTTTCCAGGGCCTTGTTAAGACTGTCAACACAGACACAGCCTCATGCTTCATCTCCATCACTAACAATAGTATCATCAAAACCACTTTAGATAATTAACAGCTTTTTTTATTTTAATGCCATTTGAACTATAATACAAGTTGGCTGTTTTGATTCTTACAGTATTCAGAAGTAAAGCTCTTGTTTTTTTGTGACATTTTCACTCTTCTTTTCACAATTTGGAAAAATGGGTATTAAGGTGTATATACTGTATAAGGTATCCTGTATAATATTCAAACTGGTGTGACAGAATTAGTGAAATGCCCAAAGAATCTGTATCAATGCATTGGGACCATTGCTTTTAATAATTTATACTCACTAGTAATAATAACACCCAAGAATTAAGTGTATTGAAAGGATTATGGCTCAACTCTCCTGGCTGAGGGCTAATACAGGAGGATGACGTTGGGACCCCTGTTCAACCAGGATTGAAAAGGGGCAGCTACAAATGTAGAGATGGGATACAAAAAGACATGTGCGAGAGAAATGGAGATAAAGTATACATTTATGATGTTTTAGGTGAGAAAAAAACCATCGGAAGTGATTGTGAAATACTGACAGCTGAGTCTGATTGAACTTGGCTATTGTCATTCCTCCCGAATGTTTGTTATAAACTCTATTAAATGATCTACATTTTAAAAATAGTTAGCAAACAAGTCAAGTTCACAGATGTTACTGAAATAGGAAGTTGTCAAGCACTGCAGAAGAAGTTAACATTTTAAAAAGACAATACAAGGCTGGGCAAACACCTACTACATGACATTTGACACAAACAAGTCTAGAATGTTACATATATGTAAGTAGCAAAAATTGAAACTTGTAAATTCAAGATGGGCAAAAGCGGTACCTGAAAAAAACTACATCTGAAAATACGTTTATGCTTTCCTTCTCTAGATAATGTGCAGACGTAATAAACAGTCAAACAATGTTACAATATAGAGTTAAAAGTGAAATGTTTGAACAAGAGATTACTGAGAGGACTTGATGAATGTGCTTGAAATTCTCAAAGGCACCGACAGTGACAACCTGAAAGAATCCTCCAGAACAAGCAGTGAAACACAAATTGGAGGATACAAGTGAAAACTATGGGGACCTGAATTTTGAAATTGAAGAAGCACCTTTTTTTTTTTACAAAGAGGGCTGTGAATGTCTGAGACAAGCTCTGCCCAGCAGACCACACTGGTGTCCTACCAGACATGTGGCTGGATGAGTTCCTTTGATCCTTTTGGCTGCTAGAAACCAAATGGGCTGGATGGGTTCTCATTTGTAAGCTTTCTAATGTTTGAATCAAAGCCAAGTGCAGCATTTTGCATGCAGGTAGTAGAAACTAATTCTAAATACAAAATTGGGAACACTGAGTTAGAAGAGGCTACTTATGAAAATGAATTAGGTGTTTATGCTGACACATCACGTACATCATCTAGACAAGGTACTTGCTGACAAAATTACATCTTCTCGATGTTTTAGGGAAGAAATAAAAAGGTAAAAAAAATCTTAGAATATACAGTTCAAATTTAATTTAGATCAAGGAATGGTATATTAAGACTGTATATTGCTGTGTAGGTTTTGCAGGTCTCTTTAAAACACCACCACCTGAAGAGCTGGCAGAAGCTGTCAAACTGCTGAAATTAAGCCAGTAATGAGCTGGTTCAGGCTGTTAAGAGCCTAGCTGAA